GAACTTGGTAGGTTTGCCGCTTAAAAGATGTAAACGGTTTTAAGAGGTATTTCAGATATGATAAGGAATTTGGGCTAAATCACAAGGCTTTCTAAATTCTGAATCTTCGAGAATAACCTCTTTTGAAAAAGAACATCAATTATATCATTGTGCACCATTATCTCATATTTTGCTTATTCTCATATGTCCTAACTTTGGCATCTCCCTATCCTCTATTTTTCTTTCTTTTTTTTTTTTTGAATTTTGGATTTTCCCCTTTCTTTTTATTTTAACCTTTTTTGATATTTTGGATTTTACTTCCACCTCTCTTTTTTTTTTTTGAATTTTCTTTGTTTTCTCATATCTTGACTTGTTTCCCTTTTTATGTTTTAGGATTTCCTTGTTTTTTTCTTTGAATTTTGGATTTTTTATCCCTTTTGGTATTTTGGATTTTTTGTTTTGTTTTGCACTTTAGATTTTCCCCTTTTTTATTTTGTATCTTTCTTTTCTTTTGAGTTTTGAACTCTTTTGTTTTTGAATTTTAGGTTTTTTTTGCACATTGGATTTTCTCCTTCGTTTTTTTTTGAACTTTGGCTTTTCTTCTCTTTTTTTTTGTATTTTGATTTTTCCCTTTTTATGGATTTCATATTTCCCTTTTTTGTATTTTATGGGTTTTTATATTTTGCGTATTTCCTTTTCTTATTTTTCTTGCATTTTTCTTATTATTGGATTTTCCCTTTTTCTTTTTTTTTTTGCATTTTCCTTGGATTTTGGAATTTTCCATTTTTTTTGTATTTTGTGTTTTGGCCTTTTGACTTTCAATATCTTTTCATTTTTATTTACTTTCGGACTTTTATCTTACTTTTATTAACAGAACATTTGTCATTCTTTTGTTTTTTTTTTGTATTTTTGTATTTTTGTATTTTTGTTTTTTTACTTTTTTCTCTTTCTTTTTTTGTTTGTTTCATGTTATCATTGTATACAGATCCCACATTTTACAATTTAGTTAATACTTATATATTATCTCTCTTTTTTCTATTTTTGACTCTTTGATTAATCTAAGGTGATTATATTTGTTTTTTTATTTTGAATTATTTTATTTTTGTTTTTTAATTTTTAATTAATTTGTGTGTTTTTGTTTTTTTTTATTTTTTTATTTTCTTTTTCTCTTGTTTTTATTCCCTTTAGATCTTTAATTCTTGGTTATTTTTATATATTTTTGCTATAATTAATTACCCTAAAGAAATATTCAGAATTTCTCTTATTTAGATGATTTTGTTTATTTTTGTTCTCTTTCTTATTCGTTTTTTATTTAATTTCCTTTMTTTTCTTCTTTTTTATTTCTATTCCCTTTTCTTTTTCTTCTACATTTGCTGATTTTTTTGAACTTCTTATTTGATTTTATTTTGATTTTCCAAATATTTATAATTGTTATATTATGCTTTTATTTCATTTTGTTTTTTCTAACACATCACTTTATTCTTGTAATTTTCAGAAATTTGTTTGGTTTCTTTTTTATGTGTTTATTTTTTTTAATTTTTTTGTTTTCTTTACATTTTTTCATTTCTTTTTCATTTTCTTTTTTGTTTTCTTTTTCTTCTCTATCTCTTTGTTTTTCTTTTGTGTTTCTATTTTCGTTGATTTTTTAATCTCTTATTTGATTTTTTTTTTAATTTTTCATACATTTGTAATATTTTGTTTTCGATTATAATTTTTTTGCCTTTTATTTTATTTTTTGACACTTTACTTTATTTTTGTATTTTTTAGATTTTTTATATTTTTTGTTTTCTTTACATTTTTTATATATTTATTCTTTTTATTTTTCATTTTCCTATTTAAAAAATTCCCCTTTAATTTTCTCTTTTTGATTTTTTTTTGGATTTATTATTATACTTTTTTTTTACTTTTTATTTGATTTTTAATTTTTTGGGAATTTTGGTTGTTTCATTTATCTATAGTTGTGCTTAACCAAACCTTATGCCCCTTTTGTATTCAAATTTTTTTTACTATTTTTTCTTTCTTTTTTTTGATGTTATATTTTTTTATTTTTTTGGACTCTTGATTTTTTTATTTAATCTTAACATTTTTTATCCTTTTTTTATACTTTCAATTTTGTATTATTATTTGATGTGGGTCCCACAAGGGGCATGCAATCAAGTAAAGTTGAGGTGGCTAACACCCTAACTAACTAGGTTGACACGTGGAGTGTAATGCATGAAGTTGGGGAATGACACCTAGATCCATGGCTGAGATCACTAGTCTGCATACCTCCACTCATATGGGCTTCTCAGGTTGATGACTGGCTGAGAGCTTTCTACCGACCTCACTGGGTTCCTAGTCCCAATGGCCCAAGTGTACCAGATTCTATCGTAATAGGACGATGGGATGCTAAATTTAAATGCGAGATGRTGTGTGTAGTGTGAATGAGCAGATAAAGAGATAACAGGCATAAAGCAATAAAGAACTATCAAATAAACAACAAGATAGTAGTTATTATTCTAAGAGAAGGAAAACAACATAGAAGCATGCAATATATACAAAAATGGCAATTAAGCCAAATGGGCCCATGTGGGCCCCACCTATGGTCCAAGAACTCCCTAGTGGAGTCACCATTCTGTGAGCATCGGAAAATAGCTCACTTGCCACTTGGGTTGGAATGGAGTCGCCACCCATCAAGTAGATGAAAAGGAGGCGATAGGACCTCTAGGATTTACATCGGGAAGAATTTTTGAGTGAGCATAATCACTCAGAAGGGAGAGGGAAGGGGTTAGGCACCCCTCTCCCGGGTCCAATAGGTGGGGCCCACATGGTGTTTTAAGTGAGCATAATCACAAATACATGATTAATAAAAAGCAACAATGATAAAGAAAAAACAAACTAAAATAAACCAACAAAGAAGACCTATTTAATTTATTTAGTACTTTTTTCTTTTCCTTTTTTTATTGTTTCTTTTAAATTTTAATTTGAATGGGACACCTGCATCCTTTTTCAGCTCGGAAAGATGTTCCCTTCCATACTCGCAGACCAATCCCTTTTTGAATGTAGGGCCTGAGCAAAAGGGTGGAAAATTGCTCCCTTACTCYGTTTCCATTAGAGCCCCACCTTCGAACTCAGTAGAATGATCTGAAGAGAGTGGAAGTTCAAACCTCTCGGTCCGTTAAAAAATGCTTAGATTTGAAATTAACGAGAAGACCGACTCTGCTCTCTAAACAAATCCCAGACAGAATTTGCTATCCAAAGACAAGACAATGTAATCAAACCAAATTCAGACAGAATGCATAGTGGGTTTTACTACTACAAAGCAAGACAAAATGTGATGCACGACCAGTTAATAATAAGCATAGACCATTGGAATATATATCGACATTCAAAGCCACAATATAATTAATCATTTCATCTAAAATATTCTCAGACTTTAATAAATAAAAAAAAAAGAGAACTCAGATGTTATCGGGGATCAACACATTATCATCATATCATTTACTGAACGAAGGGTCAGTGCTGAGATTTTATAGAAGCTGGTTCGGCGGAGACTTCATCACCAGCTCTGAAACTCCCTCAGGTCCGGATTATCCAATAATAAACGATAAGGAAAGCAAAAATAAAAATAAACATAAAGAAAAAGAAAAAGAACAGAACTAGAAGAAAATGTTAGAGTATAACTACCTGGGCGGGAATTTCGGCCTAGACTTTGATCGATGCAATGGGGGAGGTTTCAATGGTCTTTCACTCGCTTGTTTCAAATGACAATGGCGCTGGGAACTTGCCGTTAAGAGATCAGGGAGAGATGGCCCTGTATCAGGTTCAGAACCAAGAAGGGATGCCTGAATTTCTTCTGCAATTGTATGGGTTCAGAACATGATAGAAATATTATTTTCGGTGGGGAAAAGTAGACGATTGAGATGAAATCGTAAGAGGAAACTTGCACTATCGGTATTGTCTAGATTCGCCGCTGCAGCAGGTTGAGGCAACGGGAGAAGTGGGTCGTAGGTAGGTCGGGGCTAGTGATGATGGAAAGCAATGAAGGAAAAGAGAGAAACCAAACCAGTAAACTACGGTTGAGAAATTCCCAAACCAAACCAAACTGTTTCGACATGGAAACCAAACCATTATATTACGGTTTGGTGTGGTTTCTAATATGGTTTGGGAAACTTTGGATTATATTTTGATTCTTTTGGGCTTAACCCAAATAGCATCTTAAAAATTAAAAATTAAATCTTCTATTTTATTAATTTTTTTTTTTTATAAAATAAAAGAGTTTATTATATATTTATAATTCTATGCATTCGATGTATATTATATTATATTATATATATATCATTTATTTATATAATTAAGTTGTATATTTATAGATTTATGTATGACCAAAAATTTGATGTGGATGCACCAAAAATGGACCATTTTCGATCATCCATTCATAATATGCCACATCATCATCTTCTCTCTTGAAACTCTTGTTGCCCATCTAGTATTTATCGTTGGTCCACACACCCTAGCAGTTCCTCTTACAGAACCAATCAACAAACAGAGAAAATAAAGGAAAAGGAAAGAAGAAACTAGGCCAGATTTAGTAGGCACAACATAATAAGCATGTTTAGTGAGCACTTAATAAATACTAGTAAAAGTGCATGTGTGTGTATTGCACGTGGGAGGTTATAATGATAAAGATTAAAGTATGAAAAAATAAAAGGAAGTAGCTTTCAAGATAAATTTAAATGATTGGGAGGTGTCATCCCTAATCAGATTATTGTAGCTATTGTATGACTCAATCATACTCAAGTTGTGCTTAGCAACTTGTGATGGAAACAGGGCATACTTGTTAAAGAGTATTCCAATTGAATATCACACCATATATATTTTGATCACCAACATCAGCAATATTTCAATTTAGTCATTGGGTGATAAAAAATTATTTTCAAGGATTTGTGGCAAGCACCCTAAGTGTGATCCAAGTTACAATATAAGCCATTCAGAATATTTGAACACTGAAAAATCCAATTTCAAAATGCATGTTTCAGCTCTTATGCTTTGGAAACTTGTGCATTCGCCATGTAATCAAGACTCTTGACATTAAAACCTAGTGGCTTTGTGCTCTCCTCCATTTTTTGCATGATTTCTGATGTAGAGCATCTCAGGGTTAATCTCATCTCTCGCTTTCCACCCTAAAACGATCCAAAAAAATAATTTAGCAGTGTAATGAAGACATTCGCCTTTTTAGTTGATGCATTGAATTGGCAATAACAACTAAGTTATGCTACTCAAGCAGAGACCTACCAAAATTTCTCACTATTTTCAATGAAATACCATAAAAATCCCATACTGGTCATTTCTAATTGATGCCATAACATCAAAGCAGCAAAAAGGCCATGCCAGAGAGATTAAGCCCTTCTGATCGAAAGCATTCAAGATTGATGGTTTCCGCTTTTTTGGTACATAAAAGCAGGTCATGCTTCATCATATTCTTGTTTTTGAATGAACAGTTGAACACTTAGAGACATGATATTTTGGTTGGAAATTTAGGATGAAACCAATCTCACATAAACCAAAAACAATATTACATCCTTGTCATTTTTAGTTATTTGTAACCTTGCATTACCTAACTAACAACTTAGATAATCCAACAGTGGTAACATAACAAACTGATTACAAAAGCTTGATTTGAACTGAAGACAATTCATTACCCGTCTGGTGTGATTAAGCCCCAAGTCTTCAAAACATTCGAAGTCCAACATAATCTTCATGGAGATTCTTTTTTCTTTTTGAAAACCATCTTCATAGATCAGATTGCATTAAGCTAATCCTAGCAGATGAAATACATATAGCCCCTGCTATTTTATAGGCTCTGATCCATATAACTACATAACAATATTCTTAAAATGCAGGCATGAAGTGAGGTGGTAGGATCTACTAATGCACGAGAGGTAAAGTGTAGAATTGTGCAATATAAGGGCTACAATTTTATAGAATAATGTATGAATGAATTACTCATAATATGATCAAGGAATACCAAGTAATAATATTTTTCTTTAAACTCTTTCTAGGCAATTAGAAAGCTCTTGATATAAATGAAAAGTTCACAGGGGTTTTGGAAACCTTAATTATTTATACAACTGAAAATGCAGACCGGGAAATTTTTGCTCATTTCATTTTTGTGATGAGAACCGGACTTCATTCAATTAATGCATTCAAAATATGATATTGACATAAAAAACACCTAAAAGTGTGACTAATGTGCATTATACTTCTAATAGCAAATGTGATGATTCAAATCAAATTAAGACAAAATACATACTGAGAACTACCAACAGTTTGAGCCAATAGATCATCCAAATTAAGGGCATGGCTAAAGCTAATAGGCAGAATAGATTTATGTCTAGTGATTACATTTATTAGATATATCTACAGAAAGCCTGAAAGATACACTTGAATTGCTGAAGAGTAAAACAGTTTCACTTGAGGCCACAACCTTCTGATCCTCAAATTTGACAGGTTTGTAACCTTTCTTGAACCATGAGCACTCCAATACATGGGAGATGGAAATCCTCTAAAAGAAGAGAATAGAGAATTTCAAAATCCATTTAAACAAAGAGACACTTGACTAAATAAGCCTATCATATGAGGTGTTGAAAAAAAAGAAATTGGCACACATGTTTGGACAAGGAGAGCTCATCAACAGCTCAGACCACCTAGAAGAGAGTAACCATTTAACCTTTCAAATCCTTGTGGATGCTAGGAAACAAATGAACTATATTTCTCTAGAAAGTTAGCCAAATAGGGTGAAAAACTTTAGTATTAGTTCTGACAAAAAATATGCTCATTGCAAGTTATGGAGCCTCTAAGACCACTGTGCACCTAAAATCTTATTTAATTAATCAAAAGGAAGATGGGGAATAAGAAAATTTAAAAATAGGAACAAAGGAAAACGAGCAACACATTTTTTTTTTTTTTAATATGTAGAAAAGAAACAAAGTGTTGTGTGAAGTTATACCTTCTCTAGGTTTGGCTCAAGAATTCTATTAATCAACATTTGAGCTTCCGAAGAAAACCAATCAGGACAAGTGAAATCTGCCTTGCATATCTGTAGAAAATAAAGTAATGAGTCAACAATATGTCCAAAATGATATCTAATGTTAACCCATAATTAAGACTTTGACCTTTATAACATGAATATACTTTGCATGAGCTTATGATCCAGAAACCTTAAAATTCAGTAAGGGGGCATCAATGATTTCGAAGTAGCTTAAGAAAATAGCCCTCCATATCAATCTTATTTATCGTTATATGTTAGCCATTGAAGTCGCTTCTTTATCTCATCTTAAGCAGATGCATAGGTCTAGGTCTATATTTAAATTCTATGTACCTTGCTTCAGTGAGTAAAAAGAAAAACAAAGCAAAGCATCATCTCCTACACGAGAAGAAGAAACATTTCTGAGCATGGAATTCATCCTTTTTCTCCTGAAAGTGAGGTTATATTTCCTTCCCTCTAATGATTAACCAAGTCAATTCCGATCCAATGTTAAAAGAAGAGTACCTCCTCTAGAGCAACATAATTTGGAATGCCACAAGTCGTGTACAATAGTCAGTCTTCCTAATATTTTGTGAACATATCAATGTAAAGTTCTCAATGACAAAAGCAGCCACACTGTTTTCCAATAACTTGTTATGTTCTTGGGGAATATATAGTGAAGTAAGTGTGTGAAACATCTCTCTTTAGTGTGTTATATGTAAAATGTAAGGTAACCATCTCCACTTTGGAGTTTGGATACTTTTGCACCATGGGGAATTGACTTCTCAAAGCAATGTTATTTAAAGATGCAATTACAAGATATTCCTGCTTGAGGGCAGAACTGGCTATATTATTGCATAATATATGTAAACCAGAAGCAAACTTGATTTACCATTTTTCAGAAAAAAAAAATAAAACATTGATTGCATACCCTTATTTGCTAAGGTGAAGCACTTAGACCAAAATCAAAGATCTTCATCAAGTAGGAGGTTTTCCAACTGCAGAAAAATTACATGGGTTGGTACATCATTTTCTTTTAGGATAAAAGGTATAAACTAAAAAACAAAAGGAAAGGGGCCAGGACGCCCAATTACAAGGCCTAATAATATACAGAAAAAGCTTGAATAACATAAACTGGCTCAGAATAGGATAAAACTAATGGGAGATTTAGTAACTCTATATAATTACTTGGACCACTAGATTCTTATGAGAGAAAGACAACCTTATTAGGAAAGGCAATTACATGTACTCCAGGATCTGTAGAAAGGGCTAGGAGGGAATGCAATGTGGTGAGTTAAATGGGTGAAGCATCCAGCCCAACATTTACAGGAACAGGTCCAATGTGACCCTTACTGTGGTGTTGGGTTTGGATGGTGTCAGATCGATTTTACTAAGCCAACCAATCAGACCATTATATCCACTATCCAGTTAATAGGACAAAAATGAATTGAGCGGGTTTCATATTGTCGAACAGTTACTCAACATCTCATTTCACCAATTGATGAAATTTCACTAGAATCATACCATCATCATATAACAGTACCCTGTTACGGTTTTATTTTGGGAGAAAACAGAGAGTGGCTATAGAAGATGAATGAGATGGAAGAAGGAACAACGACATTATAACTTTTCTTTCGGATTTCGGGTACCATTGTGCTCAGCATGATGAGACCAGAAAGAAATTGACACCATTGACAAGCGGGTACTTGATTCAATAATTTCTTTGTATTTAAGATTTTATTTTATCTAAACATATGAAATTTCTTCCCGGAGTTTTCCATTTGACCTCAGATTCTAACTTAAGGGGACGTGGTAGGTTATCAATGGCAGACGAAAATTGGCCATATTCGATGCGCTCTAAACGCTTAGTGGGGACTTGTGTGATGTATGGGCTTTGTTAAAATAACTTCAAGCAAAAGAAGTTAAGGTACAGCTTGGGTAGGCCTTGTTCGAGCCCAACCCAATTCAACCAAAGATTTTGCATAGATTGGACTTGAGTTTTCAAACTTTAAACTGGACTTAGGCCAAAATACTCTAGTCTAACCTAAATTTAGGTTGAGCTTGGGTTGAGTCCACGGGTAGCCCGAGCCTGATTCGATCAATTTGATTTCGGCCAACATTTTGTGACATACATATCTACATATTATCAATACATTCTACCTAGAAATTGAGCTATAAAACTCAACACGCCCAATCCTTAGCTCAACCCAAGAAGTTGGGTTAAAGCTAAGGTAGGGCTAGGTTGGTAAGAGAAAAATTACTGATAATTTTTAATAATCATTGATAATTTACTAATATATAACAAAAATAGAATGACAATAATTATTGATAATTTACTAACCCAAGCCCGAGTTTACCAACTTAGGCCTGACCCAAGCTTAACCTAATATATTGGGCTAGATGCCCCAATCTATCTTAAAATGTTGGCATGAGCTCAAATGGTTTGAATCGAGCTCAAACTACCCGAGGCCTCAACCTAAGTTTAGGTTAGCCTCGAGGATTTTTGGCCTAAACCCAATTTAAAGTTCAAAAACTCAAGCCAAACTTGTGTCAAAGCTTGGGTTGAGCTAGGTCAAGCACGGGTTAGACCCACCCAACCCAAGCTACGATTCTATCTCCTTTTATTTCAAATTCTTTTAACAAAACTCGTGCATAGCACAGGTCCCTACTAGTAATTAATTTTCACTAATGGTTATTAATAACATTATTAACTACTAAAAACAGTAATGTTTTATGGTATTTTTTAATAATTCACGAAAATAATTAATAATTCTTTGAAATTTTATAATTAATATTTAAAAAATATGAATAAATTTATAATTATCGTTAATAAATCTTAAATATGAATTAATAAGTTTTATAATTGTTATTTTATAAAAAAAAATATTACTATTCTAAATAGTAACATTCAGTAATATTATTAATTAATAAAACTAATATTATGAATTATCAAAACAGTAATAAAATAATTAAAATAAATAATTATTATTGGTAATTAATTAATTTGTTGGTAATATGTCACTAACATTAATTATTAAAATCAGTAATATATTTTTGTATTAAACTTTGGTAATTTTGAATTAATGATGAATATAGAAATAATAGATTTTTAAATGAATCTTGGGAGTTTTTAATTAATCCCAATATTAAAATAGTACTGAAAGTAATTAATTTAATTATTCATGAAAACAATTATTAATTTTTAAATTTTAATATTGATAAAATAATTAATTAATTTTGATAACGTATCACAAATTAATTAATAACAAATTATTAACATATCGCCAATATTAATTACTAAAAAAGTAATATATTTTAGTAATTATTAATAAAACATTGATATAAATAATAGATTTGAAGTGAATATTGGTACTTTTTTAATTAATCTTGAAAATAATTAATTAATTTTGCTAAACTATTAGTAAATTGTCAAAAATATTAGTAACTACTCCCAAAAATATTAATAAAAATATTAATTATTATAAATTATAATATTGTTTGGGAATTTTTTAATTAATCATGCAAATAATTAATTAATTTGGTATGAGTTATAAAAAATAAAATGAAATTACTAATTATAAACAATAGATAATATACCATTCAAAGTAAATAAGTCGTAACTAGGTTGGATTAATGAAACCAAACCATACTCAGTCTAGTAGTGGGGGGGGGGGGGGAGAGAGAGAGAGAAAAAGAGAATCAAGTGGTGAAGTGGGGATTAATTAGGAGTATAAAAAATGTTAGTTATAAGCAATATTTAAAGAATGAGGAGAGGATTTAGGAATTAGGAGATGGCGTTTCTTAAATAAATGGAAAGTTGGGTTAGAAAGGGAGATACACTAAGAGTGGGCAAATGAGAGTTTTAAAGACAATAAATTAGGAGTGTGGAGAGATTTTAGTAGAGAGGAGATGAAGAGAGAGAGAGAGAGAGAGAGAGAGAGAGATTTTGGGAATGTTTTAAGGAAATTTTAAAGACTAGTGACTTGGTAGTTTCGGAGTGATGGGAAGGGGGGAGAGAGAGAATTAAGGAGAGACAAAATGGGAGGTTTGGAGCAAGGATAGGCCCTCTAATGTGGTCCACCTTGCTTTAGATATATATACTAGTGGGGACCCGTGAGATGCACGGGATTTATTAAGCGAAAGCTAAATAACAGAAAGGGTCATTTACTAAAATCCCGTGCGATGCACGAGATTTGCAATGGATTTAATCAATTTTCCATTAGATGATAGTGAAAAATGATAATGTTGACCCTAATGTTTATTTAAATAAATTTAATAAAAAATAAAAATAAAATACCATTTTTGCCCTTAATAAGACACGGACAACCACTCTATTGGCTATATTTGGTCAATTTTTTTTTTTTCTGTATAAAAAAGTGTTAAGAGTATTTTTGAAATAAAAAATCATGGGCCTAATGGCAAAACAAGCACTCCTTAATGAAAGGTAAATAAGTTGTAAAATATATGGGATGTTTTAATAAAATGAAAATTATAAGGTAGGTTTAAGTAAATATGTAAAACTATAAGGTGTGATCTAGTAAATGACCCTAATAGAAACACATAAGAGTATACAATTGTTTTATATTTTCAAATTTTTAAATAATTAATAATTATTCATATTCTATATACTATAATAAATTTTTATAATACAAAAATTAATTTTAGTTAGGTTTATTCATCAAAATGATGAAACCGATCAGCTCGACCCGAGTTGGTCGGTTTTCTAGTATTTTAGGTTGGCTTTGTTTCAAAAATTTCCCGATTTGACCAAGTTGGATCAGTTTCACTTTGGCCATTTGTAAACTAACCAAAATCGAACGACCTAACCATGGATATATATTAATATTTTACATTTTAAATATAATTTTTAATATGGAAAAGTGGGAAATTTCACATATATATTTCTTAGTTTAAAATGTTTTATATCATAAATCTAATTTTTTAATTTATTTCTTTATAATTGCACTATAATTTTTAAAAATAAATTTAATTTTTAAGTTTAAATCTTTTGAAACGACTGACCAAACCAAAAAAACGACCCAAACCGATACAACTTGAGTGGGCCGGTTTTCACAAAAGGTTAGTCGTTTTCAGCTGACCAACTCCCCAACCTGACTAGATCAATTTGGTTGGCCAAATAACCTACAACCAAACTAAACCAACTCATGAATGCTCATATATTCAGTTATATTAATAGTCTCATCTCTGATAAATAACATTAGTTTAATCTTCAATAATTATTGAAAATTTATAGCAAAAATACACAATTATTGAAAACATCTTGATAATGAAAAAAATACAATAATTACAAAAATAAAATAAGTACTAAAAATATATTAACTTAGTCAATAAATTGTATAATCTCAAATAAATTTTAATTAATCAATAAGTTATTACAAAAATACAATAAAGTTCAAGAAACTAAACTAAAACCGCAAATCACAATTTAGCAAAAAATATGAAATCGAACCAAACTATTTTCAAATGCAGACCGAACCACAAATTGGTTTGATTTGGTTCGATTTTGTGGTTTGAACCAAACAATGAACCAAACTATTAATTAATCTATATTTTTTTTCTTTTGTTACATTTTTAAACTAGACTATGAAATTGGAATGAAAGATTAACATAAAAAATGCAAATTCATTCAACCTTTTACCACAAGGTACAAACTAATAAAGGTCTTTGGTTGGTCATAGCAGATACTTTCGATTGATCACCCCTATGATTCGAGGGGAAGCCTTCATACAGATCATGTAGCCAAAACTCGTATAAGGCTTGGATGATGATGGCAAAGAAATGTGTTTTGTTAACATGGATAAGTCCATCAATCCATTTGAGACTTGGGTAGAAATAGACATGTTAACGGGCTAGGAAGCCCACCAAGTTGGCCCGGTCCGACGCGATCTAAGTCAGGCTTGGATAGGATTTCAAGCCCGTGGGCTCGGGCCCAACCTTTTTTCGGGCTAGGCTCTGACTTTCTCAAAAAAGCCCAGCCCGAGCTCGAGCCCAACTTGATAATGTATTATATAATAAAATTAAATTTTATATAACAAAAAATATATAATACATTTTTTCTTTATTATCCTTCTCTTTTTCAACCAATAGTGAGATCTCTCAGAATATTGTTAGGTTTTGAGGTCATTTAATATAAATAAAAAATTTTTAACTGAATAAAAAAAGAAAAAAATCTTTTTCCTAAATTTCTAGCCAAGCTCGGGATCAAGACCTAAGCCTGATAGTCGGACCAGGCTCTAGCTCGAGCTTGAGCATATTCTATTAATGCAAAGGCAAAGCTCGGCCCGAACCCAGCCCAGCCTAGCCCATGAATAGATCTAGGCGGAAACTCGTCATCTGTTTCATTGATTTATTTGCATACTCCACTATCTTCCAATCTTAAGCTTCCATAATAATAAATTACGAGCGGAGGGGCCCTGCTTCGTAGGGGCTGGAATTGCAACATTGTTATTTGCTACATTAGAAAAGGCAATGGATTTTTAATAAGAAACTTGCAAGTATAAGTACCCAAGTATTGAAACTCATATAAAGACTTAAAAGAGATCATCATGTGTTCGTTTTTAAAATATTGTTTCAGCAAAGCATATCATATAAAAGAATCAATACGATCGTGCAGTGATAGTTCTAAATTCTACTTCATAGTTGTCCTTTGTTTCACGTTGAGAACTCCCAATTGACCCTGATAGTAGGACCGTTCAACCTGAGAACCGTCTAGGCAACCGGTTTCATTTTACCCCAAACCCGATCCCTAGCCAAAAATCGTTGAATCAGTCAACAACCCATTGACCCGGGCGGTTGACCCCTGTTAAATGGTTTTTGGCCATTTTTCATTTTTTAATTTTTTTAATTTTTGTTGTCAGAACGGGTCATTTGTTCGAACTGGACAATCGAAGGGTCGACTTGGAAACCGGTGGCCAAAACGGTTCCGTTTCCGGGTCGGATTTTCTAGATGTCAATAATTAGACGAAATAACTTTGTAGTCAGTTATGGGAAGGGTGGACATGCAAGGGATTCCAAAACCTTGAAAGATAAATCCAAAGTGACCTTAAACACAAAAAAAAAATTGGCGGTAAATCCACCAAACTAGAAAACCCAAAGAAAAAAATCAGAAAATCGAGTTCAAAGTTCCGCTTTGAAATGGAGCTAACCATACATGCAATCAAAGAAAGAGACAAAGTAGATCATCTTGTAAGAAAAAAAAACATTGCACAAGAAAACCCAAAGAAAAAACAAAGGGAAGAAATAAAATGGTGGTAAACCCTAGACCGTTTTGGAGGATCTTGAAGAAGAAGACCAAACACAAAAAAACAAAAAAAAACAAAAGCAAAAAATGAAAAAAAAGGAACATACCGCATACGCTCGAATAAAGCCAATAGTAGAAGAGACCTTTGAATAGTGAAAATCCAAAAGCACAAAAAACCATGATTTTCGAACCGCCATTGATCCGAACGGAAAGACATTTTGGCCTGAGAACCGTCCAGGCAACCGGTTCTGTTTTACCCCAATCCTAGTCCGTGGCCAAAAACCGTTGAATCAATCAAAGACCCATTGACCCGGGCGGTCGAACTGTCGACCCGTTGACCCGTTCAATGGTTTTTGGCCGTTTTTTAGTTTTTAATTTTTGTTGTCAAAACAAGTCGTCTATCCATAATTTTTGTTGTCAGAACGGGCCGTCCGTCGAACCAGATGATCGAACTGTCATTTTTTTTATTTTTTTAATTGGGAACCGTCCAAGCAACTAGTTCTGTTTTAACCTAATCCCGGTCTCTGGCCAAAAATCGTTGAATCAGTCAACGACCCATTAACCCGAGTGGTTGAACCATCGACCCATTCAATGGTTTTTTGGCCATTTTTTATTTTTTTTTTAATTTTTGTTGTCTGAACAGGCCGTCCATCGAACTGAATGATCGAATCACCATTTTTTTAGTTTTTTAATTGGGAATCGTCCAGGCAAGCGGTTCCATTTTACCCCAATCCCGGTCCCTGGCCAAAAACCGTTGAATTGGTCAATGAACAATTGACTTGAGTAGTCGAACTGTCGACCCGTTCAATGGTATTTGGCTATTTTTATTTTTTTATTTTTTGTTGTCAGAACGGACTGTCTATCCTTTCGAATTGGACGGTCAAACCATCGACCCAAAAACCAGTGGCTAGAATGGTTCCGTTTTTGGGTCGTATGATTCACGCACTCAAATGACATAACACGTATGATACTACTTAATGGACCTCACACACTCAATTTTTTCACTGTAATTTTTGTTGTCAGAATGAGTCGTCCGTTAAAACCGGACGGTCGAACCGTCAACCCAAAAACTGGTGAGTAGAACGGTTCCGTAATTTTTTGCTTGTAATTTTTGTTGTGAGTACCGAATATTCATTTGAACCGTCGACCCAATAATAGATATATATAAAGGGCTGCCATTTGGCAATAGGGGAGACCACCCCTATCCCTGTAATAGATATACTAGCGGAGGGGCCCTGCTTCACAGGGGTTGGAATGGAACTATCGACCCATTAACCCGGTCCTTGGCCAAAAACCATTGAATCGGTCAATTGAACCATTGACCCATTGACCCGTTTAATGATTTTTGGCCGTTTCTTTTTATTTTTTTAATCGAGAACCATCCAGGCAACTGGTTTCGTTTTATCCTAATCTCGGTCCCTAGCCAAAAATCATTGAATTGTTCAACAACCCATTAACCTAGGCGGTCGAACCGTTGACATGTTCAATGGTTTTTGGTCTTTTTTTTTTAATTTTTATTGTCAGAACGGGTCATCCGTTCGAACTGAATAGTGGAACCATTGACCCAAAACCGGTGGCCAAAATGGTTTTGTTTTCAGGTTGTATGAGTCACACGCTTGAATGACATAGCATGTATGGTATTGCTTAATGGACCCCACACACTCAATTTTTTGCTTGTAATTTTTGTTGTCAGAATGGGTCGTCCGTTTGTTTTATTTTTTAATTGGGAACTGTCCAGGTAACTAGTTCCGTTTTACCTCAATCCCGGTCCCTGGCCAAAAATCGTTGAATCGGTCAACGACCCATTGACTTAAGTGGTCAATCTGTCAACCTGTTGACCCGTTCAATGGTTTTTGGCTGTTTTTTTATATATTTTTTTTATTTTTGTTGTCAGAACGGGTCGTCCATTCGAATCGGACGATCGAATCGTCAACCTGAAAATTGGTGGCCAAAATGGTTCCATTTTTGGGGCATATGAGTCACATGCTCGAATGACATAACATGTATAATACTGCTCAATGGACCTCACACTCAAGATTTTTCCTGTAATTTTTATTGCTAGAATGGGTCATTCGTTCGAACTGGACGGTTGAACTATCGACCTGAAAACCAGTGGCCAGAACAGTTCCATAAATTTTTGCTTATAATTTTTTGTTGTCAAAACGGGCCGCCCATTCAAATCGAACGATCAAACCGTCGATCCAAAAACCGATGGCCAGAATGGTTCTATTTTCGGGTCGTATGAGTCACACGCTCGAATGACATAATACATATGATACTACTTAATGGACCACATAAACTCAATTTTTTGCCTATAATTTTTGTTGTCAGAATGGACCGTCCATTCGAACGGATGATCGAAGTGTCAACCCGAAAACTGATGGCCAGAATGGTTTTGTAATTTTTGTTGTCCGAACAGGCCATCCTTTCGAATCGGACGGTCGAACCATCGGTTGTTAGAATGTTATTAACAACATTTATCAATAATAGTAAGTAATTATACTATTTAATTAAATAATCATTAATGATAGTTTTAATAATATTATTTAGTTATTTTAATATAACAATAATTATTAAATTTATGAATATGATTTATTAACAATATTG